GCATAAAATGGTTTTGTGAAGTTCACTGTCTGCAATGTAGAAGAAAGTATTTATGAACAGTCAATTTTAACTCCCTCCATTGTTATGAAAGCATTCCTGTTGTTGCCCTTTTGATACCCTATTATAAAGAGGATTGAGATAAGAAACATTAATGCCACCGGCTGGCAATAGTTATTCTTACTTGACAGAAAGCGTAGTTATCCTGATCAGATGGTGAGTTTGTTGGTAAACACGAGACTGTCGGTTATGGTAAAATTGTCAACACTCAGATTTGTAAATGCCATCCAGTTCTGCAGAAAAAAAGGAAAGAAATTGTAGATAAAACCTGACAATTATTAAAGAAATAAAAATATGCCATTTTATTTCAACCTATTAACTGAGGATTGTTTTAACCAACGCATAAGAGTAATTTTGAGCGGGCACGTGGAAGTTGACCTCTGATATATTTGGAACACCGTAACGCATGTAAATATTTGAGAATACTGCTCTTTAGTCAGGGGTCATTATGGTTTGTATTCAACTTTGATGAAGTGCTTATCTTTGGCAGAGCCTAGTTTATTAGAATGACAACTGACAGAAAACGAAATTTAAATTTACTCACTATATTTATCCCTTTATGGGGTCCATCGAAAATCTTTGCTTCTCTGAGACAAATTTTGAAATTGTCTACGCGCAACTCCTCCACCCACACGGCTATGGCATCTTGAGGTCTCTTGGGAACTTGGTGACTAGCCGTTACAAATATGGTTGGAGGAGTAGAAAACCGCTGAAATGAAATAATGAGAGAAGTTGACATTAGTAAATTAAGCGAGTGCATGCCTAGGTGAATGACCGCATGAACAGATCAGCGAATATGTAAATGACCAATAATGAGAGAATAATGAAAGAAAGCGTGAATGCTTGTTTGAGCCATTAAATGTTCTTCACCTTACAGACATTTTAAAAATAGAAAATGCCCCAAATAACAAATTAATATTTAAGAGTAGTCACGCAACACGTTACACGCCGCAGAAAGTGTAAATATTTTCACAATCAGAGTCCGCCTAGGATATTTTAATTATTCAAAAAGGGAACAATACGCTTAAATCCGAAAACTACTAATCAGCTTATTGTTAATCGGTTTTGATCTTTTGCATTAGAAATATTTGCGTTTGACGAGGAAAAATAATCTTTGTAGTTAGTATCAATTGATAAATTAAAAACGCTGTTTAATTTCAACAATTTTCAACATAGTGACATTTTACTCATGTTTTTCGTTTCCATTGAAACAGTTTTCTGTTCAGGCTTAGCGTTATTTATATTGCTCGGCAACTTTATTTGAATTACAAGGCAATTGTTCTACTTATGGCAACTTCTCTTCAAGAGAGGCGGCTTTTCAGCGTTTTTCTTGAGAAATATTCCGTATTTAGATATTCATCCCCCGATGCTATTTGTTTCGAATACTTTCTGCTGAGCAATCACGCTATATTTTGATGGTTAGCGTTTGCATAAGTCACGTTTTAAAAGGACAAGTGATTGACAATTTTCAGTAAAGAAAATTGATTACCTGACTCGTGATTTCCACGTTAAATTTCACGCGAGAAACCGATATCGCACAAATCGCGAAGTGGAGCGAGCTCGAGAAAGCGAAGCGAGAAAGCACTGACTGATATTCAACAACGTCGAGCAAACAGTTTTAAGCAAGAAATATTTTTACACTGCAATTAAAATTTTAATACCAGCTAAATTTTCAGTGTTCAAGTTCTTCGAAAGAACAACGAGTACTAAACAAGATGTATTTCTCCTAGCAGAAAAGCTTACTGAAAACTGCCATTGTACCATATTGCAAGTTGATAGAAATATTAACTGGGGAGTTGTTAATCGATGCCCGAGTTAAGAAGTTGCACTAAATGTAAACCCAGCCAGCCTGTTTGACATCCTTCGTCGTTTCTCCAGAGGCTGTAACTTGCAGCTGAATTTGGGTTAGCGTGACCTTTCAGCTCCGAGATTCTAAGCGAATGAAAGTCGTCGCGTAGGCTTTGAGTATGACTGTTTTACGGCCGCTTGAGACGGTCTCTGAATTTGCCATCCAAGGACGCGGTTGAAGCGATATCCTTTGTCTACTTTGCAAGTGTATTGCGTCCGCGTGGAACCATCTTATACAAGATATTTTGATGTTAGTTTCTTAACTGGAGTGAGGATAACGTGATACCAGAAACATTAATTGTGACCCTTATGGGATGGTCTACATACTCAAAATGAATGCTGTATTATAGCTGTGCTTTTCTTTGTAGTTGGTGAGGTAATGTTCTCCTTGAAAGCTGCCATTTCGTCTTCTACATATGTCACAATTGGCACTGGAGCTTCTTCGGCTGCTGAACTTTGCCTTGCAGCTTTCCTTTGTTTGTTTCGGCCATTTTCTTGTCCAAGCCGTTATGATTTTGTCGTTTTCTGGTATTCGGAATCGTAAGCGGCTTCTTATATCTCTCTGAAAAGTTGTACTTCAGTTCAAAGCAGGGAGGAACTTCATTTTCGCTTTGAAAAAGACTTGTGCTTGTTTTTAGCTCGGTAGATCGCGGGAATGATTTTCCA